CCCCCCGCGGGATGTTCGGCAGCCTCGGGAAGGCGCACTGACTCACAGGTACCCGTGCAGCGAGGGAAGCCTGACCTCTACAGCTCGCTCACAGATTTTCCCGGCTTTTCCCGCTGCCGGCAGGGTGTAAAAGCTGATGGAATAAAACTGTTTTCCTGCCCCCGCATCGACCTCCGGCAGCGAGCCCGGAGCCAGGGCTCCTTCCCCGCCTTCCCTTCCCCGCGCAGCTCCACGTCTCCCACCGGCGTGACCCCGGGGCCGGTCCCGGCGCTACCACCCGCCCTGGCTCCGACACGGGGAGGGCAAACAAGAGCTTTCAGTCCGCAAATACCCCGCGATAGCAGGGCGCTTACGCACCCGTTGTCGCACTTGATACAGATTATGTGCCAGGACATATCTCATGGACTCCACCTCTGCGGGGGAGAGCCGATGCACACGCCGGTTTCTACCCCTCCTGTAAATAAAAGAGAAGTTTAAATATGATATTAACGAGTTGGTTAAATACTATTCCCATGAAATGATGCATGACCTATTTTTAGTGCTGAAACAGAATGCTATGAAGACCTTTTCAGTGACCAGTGACACCACAAAATCATCCCAAAATGAGTAAAATTGTCAGATTTTTCTCTTTCCCGGCTTGTATCAATATACCAGGTAGTCAGAATGGGCTGTAAACCCTCATACAACTGGCAGCAGAAATCGTGTTTCTTTGTCAAAGCTTCATAAATTCATATTTGATTAGATTGGGCAACAACCTGCTGTACATCCAGGAAGGCACTGCAAGTTTCCTCCTCTGAATATATTCTTCAGCATGGTCTAGTAGTATGTGCCTTACTGTCCTACTGGTTTTAACTCCTTTGAGAAAGTGCAGCACATCCTTAAGAACTAAAGCACACACCAATTAAGGAGTCTGAGAGACCTGTCCTGTGCTGAGGAGAATGTATTGGGTTTTCTTGCTACTGAGCCTGTTTCTCCATTTAAAAAGGAAAAAAAAAAAAACAAAACAAAACAAGAAAACAAACCAAAAAACCCCACTTAAATTATAATCATCTTCATATTTTTAACAAACTGTGACAAAAAGCCCACAGTCATATGTAGCTGCCTGGCTTTTTCACTAGCATAATAATGAAGGAGGGCTGCTGTGAAATGTTAACTGGTTTTGCTAAATCGGTCAATCTCTGTAAGAGAGTTTGGCTGAATTCCCAAGAAAGGAAAGGGAAATAGATAGTGATCATCCAGGATGAATCAGTCTGAGTTCGTCTTATATCGCTTTCTTTTTCCTTTCTCTATTTTGCTTTCTTGTCTCTTTTTAAAAAAAAAAAAAAAAAAAAAAAAAAAAAAAAAGGGAAAAAAAGTAATTGCAGATCTTTGTTCTCAGCTAAGTGGTGTCCTTAAGTGATATCTGTAAATTGTGCTATACAAGAATGGATTATGATCAATGTACAGTATTGCCGAAAATTTGTGTACATTTATTTTGTACTCAATCTAAAATAATTTTAAAATTTTTAACAGTGAAGGAAGGTGGATTCAAGCTAAACTGAGTTTATGCTGTAAACATAGGGAAAAGGTTGGAATTTGCAATCGCAGCTAGTTTAACAAGGCTACCACTGTTTTGTGTTCTAATCTAATATGAACGTCTTTGCCCCCTCCCTGGCAGTGTTCCAGGCCAGGTTGGACGGGGCTTTGAGCAACTTGATCTAGTGGAAGGTGTCCCTGCCCATGGCAGGGGGGTTGGAACTAGATGATCTTTAAGGTCCCTTCCAAGCCAAACCTTCTATAATTTTATCATTCTTTGATCTTGAAGACTTGCAGGACCATCACAAGCTGCCTGGATTCTATATTTTACTGCCTCTTACCATCAAGTAGACAGTGAGCACTGGTCCAAAGTGCCTGGAATATAAGAATTAATTCCTGATATATTTCAAGATTTAGGAATGTGTTTTCCTTCTGCATCAGACCAAAACAGAGATCTGCCAAATTTTTCATGAAGTAAAAAGAAAGAGAAATTGACAATAGGTTAAGGTGTTGTGTTAGAGGTATGCCTGGGGTAACCAGTAGGTTAAGGATCTTGAGGCATGAGAGACCCATGAGTCTATCACTCAGCTATTGGCAAGCCAGAGTGACAGAAAAGGCCTATATTTCTGGATTGAACAGAAATCTTATCCTGGCCCTGATAAATCCTTCCCAACAAACGTCTAATTGAGATTCATCAGTTTTCAACAACAGCAACAACAACAAAGCTAGGTTTTTACCAGCAGAGAAAAGAAGACCATCACCACCACCCAATTCCAGGCCAGCTGGGTGTGTTCACTGGTTGACTGGTTGGCTTTTCACTTGCTTTCAGCTCTCAGGGAGAACACTGAGAGGATCTAGGGATGCCATGAAGTTTCCAGGCTTAGATGTAACACACCTTTATTCCATACTGGGTCTGACATCTGCATTGGGTCCCACATCTGTGGGACAGCCTGTGTGTGCTACTTTCCACAGCAAGGAAATCAGTCTTTTTGCCGTCAGCAGCCCCTAGCTACTATCCCTTTGGACAACACAGAGACCCTAGGTACACCTGGGAAAGCAAACACAGGCACAACCCATGGGGATTAATGGCAATCTAGCCTGTCAACAAATAGTGGCTTGTAAAGTGCAAGCTTGGCTCATTTGTGAAACCAAATTTGTGAACTGACAGAATTGATGCAAGCAACTTTGAGATCATAGGGAATAACTATAAATAGGGGAAAGCAGAATACCACTGAGAAGATATCAGATCATCTCTACTTTTCCAGATGCATACCCGACACCCTCCACATGCCTGCACAGAAGTGGACAGTCCTAAGTAATTTAAAGGCTTATCATTTTGCTTTTAAAGTGACAAATAAAATAAATAAAGTTCCCTGAGTTTCAGCTGAGCTGTGATAGCAAGAGAACAAATAGCATGAAGATAGTCTGTATTGTTCTGGAACATAAATAAAAAATGTGTATTCTTTTTATAGGATTAGATATTAACCTACTCAGCTGATAACAATGCACAGGAATTGTAATAAGGAACAGATTGCTTTCACATTTTGCAATATAGAGCACATTAAAAAATAACTTTCAGAAAAAACCTAAACAAGTTTGGTATGCTACCAAACCCATAAAGCAACCCTTATAGAAACTACTTCTTTGTTCTTATTGAAACTTCCAGCATGTTACAACAAAGCACAGCATGGGAGGTATATTTGTGAGGAAAATACTGAAATGATAATATGCTATGAAAACTGTCTCTCTGTAATGAGTACAATGACAGTATCTCTTTCTTCTTTAGATATGAAGATAGTTGATACATGGAGGATATAAAATGCCTTCCAGAAACCTTGTGAGATTATTTTTTATATATTATATGTACAATTTTGAACTTTTTGAACTCTCCACCAATCTTCACTAGTCCCGTGAAGGAGATAACATTCGTCAGGCACAGCTCTTGAACAACTGTACCACCACAAATGACAACATGACACTTGATTCTGATCTGTACTGTATCAATATATTCTAAGATTTACTCTTACCCAAGTCGGTATTGCAGTAATATAAAGCTGACGTTAAGTAAGCTCAGCATCAAATAATCTCTAGTGGGCATATTTCCTTCAAAAAACAGCCATACAAACTTAGTTTTGATAATATCTGCTTGGCTCTGCTTTTGGCATTTCTATCCTTATTTCTAAGGACTATATTCTTCAAAACATCATAACAAAATGGTCTATTTGAATTCAAATGTGGATTCTTTGTTGCACAGTCCATAAGCAAATTTCTCCAGCCTGCAGTGGAAATACTTACTGCTTATTGGACACCCACTCCACCCGCAGGAATTACACTAGCATGAATGCAATTTCTGAAGATAATGCTAATTCACAGTGATGGAGATCTGCATTTTCCCTCACATGTCTAAAGGCTGCAGAACTTATCAGAAGTGCTAATGAGACAGTTTTCTCACTGCTCTGGCACTGCAAATGTTGCTTTACATGCCATACATTGAAATTTTATTTTAAATCTCCACTTGCTCATGGCCAGATTTTTGCATCCTCACCAAAGACAGGGACTTTAGGTATAAGCTATTGCAATTATAACAATCAAACAATTTACAAACACATTTAGAAACCTTTTAGGCTTAAGCAGGTTTGCTTAATTGCTCAGGAGAATGGACAGATAAAAAAATGCTGCACTGGCTCTGACCAAAGATACAACTATTCTGTCTCCTCCAGTGCTCAACAGCAGATACCTATCAATGAGCAGAGCTGAGAAAACATATATTTTTCTAGAACACTCTTGCAGCCTCCAAGAATCAGAATGTTTCTGAGCATCAGGCCGCACTTTGTTTTCTGAAGTTGGTATTTCATTTTTAAACAGACTCAGTAGGACAACGTGTACATCAGAGGTTGATGCACAGTAAAATCCAATTACAGCCAGAGTAGAGATGGCAAAAATTAGTCCATCATATCAGCTGTTTATTATAGAATATTTTTCAATCTCAATTCTCTGCTCGGGGGAGAATTTCTGAACTACACTGAAGCAATTTGTCTTATTTTCTCTTTCCCTCAAGAAAAGAAAAGAAACGTGGTTTGATTGCCATAGATTGTCTACCAACCTTGCACATTTCCTCTTGGCTCAGAACAGTTAAGGGAATACAGCAGACAGGAAGGAGCCTGACAGATACGCAATCTTTTTTAATATCATCCATCCAGCAAAGAATGATTTAGAAAGAAAAGGACTAGGTCTTATGCTGCATGCTGACATCAGTTTCAAGAAAACAGAAGATTCTTTACATGATTAAGTCAAAGTTTCAACAGAGATTTTAATTTAATGTCCAGTTGGTATTTGGACTTTCTGGTAATGGGTTGAGATAATAATTTATAAAAGAAAATATGCTGGGCCCTGCCAAAGGCTACTGCAAAATGGATAGGGATCTGAAGGATTCAGAGAGCAGGCAGTAACAGCAACAGTGGCCAGCAGGGGCCCAGGAAAGAATCAGTTGGAGCTAATGTGATTAGCACCGCCCAGACTCTGGACAGTGGCTTGCAAGGTAAGGATAAATACATGCACAGCAGTTAAAGTATGCAGGAGTAAAGATTTGTACAGACTTCTCTCCTAAAAGGTAGTTTCCTCAGTGATACCTCTGGAGATCCCACCAGTTTTCTCCCCTGGTCTGTGTGATGCCAGGTTGCATTACTGTTTCATAGTCATAGAACCACAGAATGGTTTAGGCTGGAAGGGACCTTTCAAGGTCAAGCCCCCTGCAATGAGCAGGGACATATTCAACTAGATCAGGTTTCTCAGAGCCCTGTTCAACCTCACCTTAAACACTTCCAAGGAGGCAGCATCCACTTCTCTGGGCAACCTGTTCCAGTGTTTCACCACCTTCATCATAAAAAATGTCTTCCTTATATCTAGTCTGAATCTACCCTCTTCTAGTTTAAAACCATTACCCCTTGCTCTGTTTTTACAGGACTTATTAAAAAGTCTGTCCCCACCTTTCTTATAAGCCCCCTTTAAGTATTAAAAGGCCACTATAAGGTCTCTCTAGAGCCTTCTCTTCTCTAGGCTGAGCAACCCTAATTTTCTCAGCCTGTCCTCACAAGGGGAGGTGCTCCATCCCTCTGATCATCTTCATGGCCCTCCTCTGGACCCACTCCAACAGGTCCATGTCTTTCCTGTGCTAAGAACTCCAGAGCTGGACACAGCACTCCAGGTGGGGTCTCACCAGACCAGAGTAGAGGGGCAGAATCATCTCCCTTGACCAGCTGGCCACACTTCTTTTGATGCAGCCCAGGATGCAGTTGGCTTTCTGAGTTGTGAGTACACACTGATGGCTCAGGTCCACCTTTTCATCCACCAGCACCCTCAAGTGCTTCTTCACAAGGTTTCTCTTAATGTTTAATTGGATGAATTTGGTACGGAAGTACCAAAATATGGCAAGACAGTTTGAGGGACTGCAAACTGCAGTAGCAAAAATTGCAAATTTTAGAAGGAAATCTGCTCTCAGCAAAAATTTGTGATTGGGATAATGGAGTCGGGACCTGTGCTCTAAGCTTTCCTGCAGGTGTCTCAACACCTAGCAGTGATAAGCAAACCCACAGGCCAGATAAGTGGCAAGTATGGCCACCTTGAACCACTGCTGTGATTTAAAGCAGAGTGACTCCTGCACCTGACTCATGATTCTTCTTCAAAACTGCCTATCATTTAAGAGAAACAGAGAAAATATCCCTGACTTTAATTTTTACTTTTGTGAACAAAGAGGCAAAGTGCAAATATGATGACCACCAAATTGCCAGCACAAGACAGCAACTTCACTTGTCATAACTCTTTTTTCTTACTTTTATTGAAGTCATAAAATCCCTTGGGTATTTAGCCATTTTTGTCCTCTTCCTTCCTGTCCCTACTCTGCAAAAGGTCAGGAGGCCAGTACTCACTGTAAAGAAGCTGTGGATGATTTTGAAATTTTCATGCCACTCTCAGCCATCTCGATGGCCAGTTTTATCTCCATCTTCTTGTACAATGACACAATACTGGATTTGGGCTGGTGTTCCCGAATTAAGATTTTCTTCAAATACTTATTGTCAAACTTCTTAAATCTGCAAAAGAGATATTAAAATCAAAGTGTAAAAAAAGGAAATGTGGTTTTATTGCTGTGGTACAAGCTGATCTTCATTCAAATGCACACATATATAATTCAGTGGTGGAAACTGAATTCATATTGGAGGCACCTGTGGACTCCTGATGGCCTAGTGAGCAGAGACCTTTAGGGAGACATTTGGCATGGTCTACTGGTCTACGGAGATTGCAAAACCCACCAGATGAAAGAAACAAGCTGCAATCAGAGAAAAAAAAAAAAAAAAAAAAAAAAAAAAAGCATATAACACTGCCACATTTGTCAGAAAAGAATATAGCCAGTCTCCGTGCTTTTGTACAAATGTTGTATTCTAGTAGGGCATAACAGCAGCAGCTGCTCTTACAGTAATTCTGGCCTATTCAGCCAGCCACCAATGAGGCTCTAAATGTCCCAGCAGTTACAGTAGTTTGGGCCCATTATGTTGCTGATAATTTTGAATCCCAACAATTGAAGAAAATACATTTCTTTGTATTCTGAATAACAGAGAAATTGAATGGACCACAAAATACTATGTTCTCGCATGCTGGAGATTGTAAAATATCACAAATGTGTGGCATAATTTGAATCTGAATGTGTGTGTGCACACTTTGGGTCAGGTATGTGCTTTCAGGCAGACATTTAGCAGAACGACAGCAGATCTTCTTATACGTTTCTTTCAAAGGAGCAGTTTACCACAGCAAGGTAACATGCGCCACAATACTAGGAAAAGCACTATAGAATTTGTACTTTTTCTTAACAAAGACTAGTCTTTTATACATTAATAGCAGAGATAGGTACACAAATGTTTCCATTAGAGCTCTTTATGTTTTTCTGTGTAACAGAAAGCCTCCTGAAATGTCATCACTTAGTTAATTAATTTTTGTATCCAGCTGATAAACATCTTTAAAGTTGTGAAGGTAAGTCTAGGGAATACCTTTTAATGCAATCTTTTTTATATTAGATGCTTTCACATACAGTGTGTTGTCTGAATCTGTCCCTGAACTGAAACACTATGTTTATACTAGTTTGGACAAAATTCCCTTTACATAGCTGTTGGGTAGATGTGAGATCAGAGGGAATAACATTTTCTCACTGATAGATGGAAATGAGGCTACTTCAATGGAACTACAGCTCCAAGAGAGATTTGTTTAGTTTATTGACTGCACAGGCAGTGGTGTGGTCCCAACAGACATCCTAAAGCTATCTCTGTACTGTGAGAGCCAAGAGAACATTTTAGCTTCTTCATCCAGGTATGTGCCCTAGATGCATCGTTATTCCCTGTTGAGACAAGAACTGGGTGCAAACCAGCTGCCTTCTTCCCACTCCTAATTCCTGCTTTCCATTGGGACAAACTTGGTTATGAAAGGTGTTGCCACACGTCCCAGCAGACTCCTAGGTGGTTTACTGGGGTGGCAGTGCTAAGAGGTGAGAGAGAGGTCTCCAGCACAGAAGTCTAGGCATAGCCTAATGGCTTTTAGCCCATGGCATCATAATGCATTGTTTGCAGAAAAGGAAGATTAGTGTCTTCCCACTCTTCCCTTCACATACTGTGGTGATGGCCAGCATGATCACAGGATTCCTTAGGGAAAAGTTAAAGGGAATGGAAGCTCAGAATGACAGGTCCATCTCTTCTGAGCAGTGCCTGAAAGAGCCACAAAGCTTCACAAAACCACCTCATCCTGCTTCTAGAAGACACAGCACAGGTCCTGCATTTCTAAGTGAAGACCAGCTTGAATGTATCTGTTTATGCTACTGGATATTTAAATCAATAACTGCCTTCAGTACTGTTATTTTAAATATTACTGAATACAAAGACCTGTAAGGACAGGTGACTAATATTGAATCTGTACTCACTAACCAGGAATCATATTTGCTCTGGAGGCTTATAACAAAACTTAGTGTAACACTGACACCTTATGTAGCTTCTGTTCTAAATCCAGACCTAAAGAATCACTGCCATGGATCTAAGATTCAAGCCAAAGCTATGTGTACAGGCTGATGCCTGCAGCTTGAGTTAATGTGCTGTTTTTCTTTCAGAAGGCTTATCTTCTTCTTGTTTGTGCAGAAGCAATTTAGCAGGCAATATACAAGCACTGCAATCCCAAGAGATAATGGTTACTCTGGAGTTCACTTTTTAAAAAGAGATATTGCACATGTCTCCAATATTTTCACGCTATTTTAGCTTTATGGGGTACAAGATTGATTTCCTATTCTATTTACCTATTGTATTTTACATGATAGATAGGCTATTTTATTATAGTAGACTGCAATAAGAGGTGCTTACTTATCTCTCAGCTGATAATGACTCCAATGTCCACATATGTCTTCAATACCAGCCTTCAAGTGATCCATCAACTAGAGAAACAAACATGGAAAATTTTTAAGTGGCCATTATGAAAAAATAATGTCACCACAAATACAGAATTGTTGACAGGATTTTGATATTTTTTTAATTGGAGAGTGTGACTTAATTCTGAAAGTATCTACATTTCTCTAAAAATCAAGGCAAATATCCCACTCTGGCAGTTCCCATGTTTGGCTGCAATGGCAATATTTTGATGGAGGCAACAAGTCTGTCAGTCTACTATCACCTCACCATCACCTAGCAACATATATACCCAAGTAAAGGGCTGCATCCAATTGTTTGGTCCTCTTTGTCTTCTGCCACCAAAAACTAAATTCTTGGTTCTATCAACTAAGTTTCCCTTCTGCATGTGTGACCTCTCTGAGAGGGGCAGAGGGCCAGGTACCGCACACTTTAATCATTGTCTTGACCAACAAGTCCTCTGTGGATTTTGCAAATTGTCACGAGAGTGGTAAGTTCATTACTACCAACTATCAGAATTTTCAGTCATATTTTGTGCGTTTCCAGTATTATAGAAACAGTCAGAGAAATGGCCAATTCTTACATATTGGTGTAAGTGGTGATTTTAAATATTAATTCATTTGAAGGTTAAGTGTAAAAGTTGGCGCAGTAAGAATGAAATGCACTTCAAAATCAAATCAGTTGAGACACACTAATTTTGCTAATGTCTCTGCATGTGCTTTATTTTAAAGTACAATGTGTCTATTAATTTCAAATATATTCCCTATTGTGAAAATGACAGCATGTATGTATGTTTTGTATAGTCTTGCTAAGTCAGTTTTAGCAGCTTTTTGTTATTTTATATAATGGTAATTTGAGAGTCAAAGCAAATGTTTGAGAGGGAAGAAGATTATTACTTAAAATAACTTGAAACTAAATTTGCATACCAATGGTTCAACTCATTTCAGTTCAATAAAACTTGATTAAAGACTTCTAAGGTGTCAGTGTGTCTAGAACCGGTCAAAAGATGGCAACAAATGTTGCCATCTGACTAATCTAGCTGGGAAGGATGAGTGCATTTTGTAAAGGCTACCTTTATGCTTCTGTCCTCCCATGGTCATAAGTATCAAGAAGTAAGGGCCCTGATACACCATGACAGTGGAGATACAATATTATGACAGTCATTATAAATACAAGAGAGACATATTCTAGAAAATTACGCCTAGGATTTCCTCCAAATGTTGTTAAAAGCATTCAGTGTACAAATCCATTGAATACTGGTGCTACCAAATGCTTCTTCTTTTTAGGATCCCAGCTACTGATATAAAAAACTTACTCGGACATGAATTTCTTCATTGATGGACTCCTTTTTATTGGTCTTTTTAACATCTAGATATCTGACCAATGGTCCAATTGTGATTCCCTGCATTTGGAACAATGAGTTGAAAGGTTAATTATCTTTTAGGGAAAACATAAAGAAAGCAAAAGGATTTCATTTTAATTAAAATGGAGAGCTGTGTCTTAGATACTAGAATGATCTGTTACTTGTATGAAGAGCTACAGAAGAGAATTAAAACGCCAATTTTTTTTTTTTTTTTTAAAAAAAAAGCACCAGGGTTTTTTTAAGTGAGATTTTATTTATCAACATGTTTTACCTGTGTAAAGTAAATGACTCATTGCCAACCTTCTTCAAAAGGGGCACTCAATTGAAAGAAAACATCTTCATGAGGTTCTTACAATCTTGAAACCTCTTACTTCTACATTTTCAGAATTAAATATTTTGGGTTTTTTTTTCACTTAAAAATAATTTTCAGCTGTTTCCTATTCTTTATTGCATTGCTACAGAATAGCATTTAAAAAGAGGAAATAGAAACATTTTTTTCTGAAACATTCTGATGGAATCTAAGTGCCTAACCAAAAGCACCATTGGCATCCTAGGGTATCTGAGATATTTATTTGTATGAGAAAATATAGAGCATGGGGTGCAAGACCTCCAGAAGATCCAGTTCTTCCAGGTACAGCAGTGTAGGCCAAGTAGAATAGCCCAGCATCTAAAGTAACACCAGACACCTATTTTTACAAATCTGAATTACTTACTTCATTTGACTTTAATATTCTTTTACAAAGGATTTCAAAATGTTGTCATTTGGTCTCCAAGAATAATGAAGGTAAAACTAAAAAAATTCAAAATCCCTCATAAAACAGAGATACTATTTTCTGCTCAGTTTGAGATGCACCCTTAGCAGCCAATGATTCCATGCTGAAGTGTAAATTAAAATGCTTATTTTGGACGCATTAGGAAGCACATGTGGAACGAACAGAACAGATTTTGGACACAAAAGTCCCCTTTTCCCTGAATGTTTTAGAAAGCACAAATTTTCAATACAGACTTTTTGAAAAAGTTATTTAATAACACCTAAAAAGCCCTGAAAGGCTAATTATACAGTGCAGTGCTAAATCTGGACATAACATATGACATCTTGTCCTAATTTAAGAGTAAATTCAATGCAATCTTCACACACCTTTAGCACATGAAAGCAATCCATTAAGAAATACACTTACTTGGATGAACACAGTGAAATATATAACTACAAGAGTAGCAGTAATGAACAATTTTTTTCTTGGGAAGAGATTCACTGGAAGCAAGAATGCAAGAGAGAAGCTGCTGGCTCCTCGAAGGCCACTGTAGGAAATAATTAGTTGGTCTTTGAAGGTGAAGGGGTATGTTCGAAACTTGTTACTGATGTAGAAGAGAGCAAATACACCTAGGAAGGGGAAAAAAACCCACTAATGTTATTAAGCAAGGAGAAAAAGAAAATATTTAAATCAAAACAACCACTTGACCACTTGGGTCAGGCAGCTGTTGACAGACCTTTGTTTTCAATTTGGGGTTCTTGCAGCTTCTCTTTGACCAACTACTGAATCTGTTTTGTGTGAAATAATCTCTTAGAAAAGATTGTGGTTCCTAACTTCTTCAGGATTTAAATTCACTAATGTGGTTTAGAAGTGAGATTAGGGGAAAAGATTTACTTTCTGTATTTATGTTACACAGTTCTTTTCTGAAGTGTCCTGGAAACGAGACAAACCACTAGATGAGAGTTTTTCCTGTGCCTTCCTTTGCAATGTTTCCTGCTTTCTGCACGGTATCTGCGCAAAGTGTTTGAACAGTGCTTTACCAACAAGTCCTGTGGACAGTTTTGCTGACAGGCAAAGAGTAATAGCATTTTAATTTTTAATCCTCTGGTTTATTGTGTCTCTAAATCTATGTTTATTTCTCAAATTTACTTTTGCTTTTAATAAAAGTTAAAATTAATCAGACAGCCTGTGGCTGTGTAAGGACTGAATCTTTTCTTTATAGACTACATTTAACAATTTGCTTGATTTCTTCTTAATCACCTTCATCTTCCATAAGAAACATGTATCCTTGTGTTTTGTATGGATACTGTTACATTACTGAAGTAAAAGCTGACAAATGCAGATAATTACTGGTGCTTTTTTACACAGCTGTCGCTGATAAATTCAGTGGATTATTATACGTAAAACCAGTGGCAGTACCCCATTTTGTAGGTTGATGGATACCACTTTATATAAGACCTTATTTGGCTACTTATAACTATGCTAGACATCAACTACTCAGACTGAAGCTGCATATGTGAGTTATCATCTTCAGGCCAATTCTCTTTACTTTATTCAAGCTTCAGAGAAAATGATGTAATCATTTTAGCAAACAATTTTAACAGAAAATCTTTTTTCCTTCCTCTGGAAAGCTCTAGCACTCCCCTTGGTGTCTGAGAGTAGGATGGACATGTGGCAGCAAAATAGCTTTTATATCAGGAGACCTCTTTTTCTGTCTTGGTTGGAAGGATATTCCAGTACAGACTCTGAAAGTAAGCCTTAAAAAACTTAGAGACCATGCTTGGTCCAGCATTAGCAAGCAAATATTTAATTGCTTTCTTTTTGCTGTCAACCCACAAGAATCATATCACTTCTACTGTTGAGTACTTTTATCATCCCTATATAACAGAGTTGTTCAGATGAATGTACGTGAACCTTCACAGGTTTCCCTTTTCCTCTTTTTCCTCTGCTTAAATGCCTTTCTCCAGGGTTTCCAGGCTTAAAAGTCAAAGGTCTTGAAATGTGTATAGGCTTTGAGGGTCAAGCCAACATCTTCCTCCTGGTCTGGCATTCTTTTTGACTGAGAGATAAGCCACCTGATATAGTTAAGAAATAGCACCTTAATCTCAGATGTTTGATGTCAACACTCACCTGGTCCCAAATGTTAGACTCATAGTACTGTAGGCTAGAAGGGACCTTTGGAGGTCATCTAGGCCAAGCCCCTACTCAAAGCAGAGCTAATTATGTCAAGTTGCTCAAAGCTCCAGTCAAGTCTTGGAATACCTTTAAGAATGAAGAGCTGGGCCACTGTTAAAATATTGGATCACACTCATGTTAACAAATGGGTTCCTCCTGTCTAAGCAGAATTTCCTGTGTTCCCATTTGTGTCTCTTGCCTCTTGTTCTATTGCTGTGCATCTCTGAGAAGTGTTTGGCTCCAGTTTCTCTCTCTCTTCTGATCAGATACTTGTAAAAAATTATAAGGTCTCTCCTGTGCTGTATCTTCCCCAGGCCACATAGACCCAACATTCTCAGACTCTCCTTGTATATGCAATGCTTTAGTCTCTAACCAGGCTGGTGGCGTCTATTGCACTTGATCCGTAACCTCCATGGCCTTCCTATACTGGGGAGCTCAGAATTGGAGACAGCACTCTGGAGACAGCACACACTTCCACCAGTGCTGAAGAAAGAGGAAGAGACACTTTGCTGGACCTGCTGTCTGCACACTTGCTAATGTAGCCCAGGACACAGTTGGCCTTCGTTGTCACTAGCACACAGTTCTGGTTTGTGCTCAACCTGTTGTCTACCAGATAGGTCCTTTTCTATAGAGCTGCTTAACAGACTCCAAACCTGTACTGGTTCATGGTGTTATTCCAACACACATATAAGTCCTTGCATGTGTTCTTCTCGAACTTCATGAGCTTTCTGTCAGCGCAGTTCTCCAGCCTGTCCAAGTCCCTTTAAATGGAAGCCATCCAGAATATTGGCTGCTCCCTGCAATTTGATGTCAACCACAAACTTGCTCAGTGTGCACTCCATTCCATCCTCCAGGTCATTAATGAAGACATTAAAACAATACTGATCCCTGTGCTCTGCCCTGAGGGATGCCATTAGCCACCACCTAGACCAGAATTTTGAGCTCAGTGGTCCAGCCAATTCCCTTCCCACATTATCAACCACCTCAACTGGACAGGGTTGTAATTTTGCTGTTTGTAGGCTTGCTCACTGCTCTCTGAATCTTAGCATCCACAGTCTCATGGTCACTGCAGTTAAGGCTGCCCTCAGTCTTCACATCTTCAGCCATTTCTTCCTTCTTTGTAAGTAGTAGAGAAGACAAAACATATTTTCCAGTTGATTCATCAACCAGTCTCTAGCAACTCTCATTTGCCTTTTCCTCTCAATCCCTTTTTGCCTTCCCCTTCAGGGCACAGCTCTCCCTCATGAATCACATGACAGGTCTTGTTCCTCTTCAATACTATAGCAGATGACGCAGGGCCAATGCCTAGAGTTCAAGCCTGGGCTCTGTATGTAAAGGGAATATAGTCAAGGACTGAAGGCTGGACGAGGTGGTGGCAGGTGCCACATGTAGATTTCTGCCCCACAGGATGCTCCAGAGATGCCTCCTTTGATTGTAAATGAAGCATGGGGAATCTAACCTACTAAATTAGATAGCCAAGGTAGCTGCCTGAATTTCAGTGCTCAGAGTATGTCCTCCAAGGCCACCTGATGGAATATTTGGATTTCTCATTTTCTTTAAAAAATATAAATTACTATGAAAAATCCTATTGAAAAACACACAAAAAAATTTGTTAAGATGACAAATTCAGGTACTCGGAAGTTTAAAAATGTCAGAAATAAAGTTGCCTGCATAACTGTATTTTTGGGCCTCTCATGTGTAGTACTTCCAAAACATTTTTCATTACAAAAGCATTGTTCAATACATCACCTTTCTAGGAGTAAATGCGTTTGCTTCCTGTTGCAGCAGTTGTAACTTAACCTGATGCTGAATAGAGCATTCCAGTTCAAAAAAAGGATGGCATAATTCATGGGCAACAGGACCAACACAGACCCCTATATAGCATGGACAAGGAGCAATTCCCTCTCCCATCCCAAACACAGTGACTGTAGATGTTAAGGGAGATGAGCAAAGCTCAGAAAGTGGCCAGTCTTTCAAGCCTTCCCTAATAAGCATTTCTGGAGGCTCCTTTGAAGACACCTCTTGAGGGTTGGTCTGACCCAGTAGGTCATTCTTTCTTTTCTTAGAGTGTTTGGCTGGATGGTACTAGTAGATGAGGGAGAAGATGACAATTCTTTGCCTCTCTGCTTCCACAGTTGCAGTAAATTGACTAACAGGCACAAGAGCATTTTGTACAAGAAGTCATTGCCAAGACTGCTACCAACTCCAGCAAAAAAAAACAGTCTTCTTATTGCCTCTTCTTTCTCAACAGTACTGTCAACCCATCCTGGACATCAGGAGAAGATGAGAAATTGTGTCCCACAACTTGTGTGAGATCATCTATAAACTGCTCTACCCATGCTGGAGCAATTAGAGAGTAGGAGACCTTTCCAGGAATGAGGAGATACTGTATGTAGAAATGGAGTAACTCCAAACAGGCATTCCTTGCTAGCAGTTTAAAACTTCAGAGTTAACTTGTGAGGAGCAGTCCCATAGTGTGGTTGGCCTAGATGTGATATAAGGAAGGAAATAGAATCCCTGTTCCGTTATCTCTCAGTGCTAATTTTCACCTTTCCTCTTTTTCAGTGCCTCTGGCACTCTTGGCCCAGGACCCATAGTGTTATAGCACCAGAAGTGTGGTAATGTACATTATCTAATTAGTTAATTGCACTATTCAGTGAAATAATTATGAAGCCCACTTACCCAAGGGCATATAGTTAACTAAGATGTCAGGGTCTATATAGGTGTAATCATGGTAATATTTTAGTTTTGCTTAAGATATTCCATTCTCACCTAATCATGAAGTCTGTGCCTGAAGACTGGTATTCAGATTTGTTTCAGTGATTTTCCCCCCTTCTTCTCCATGTCTACATTTGTGAAATTAGCTTGTCAGTAAAATGACCCCAGTAAATTAATTATTAAACTGGTTATACCAGTCTGCACAGACTTTTCTAATATACCTTTGCACCAAAGGATTTCTCTCAGAGATGGAGAGCAGGTTGCCCCCAAAAGTTAACTTACTCAGTGTCCGCCAAACAAGGCAGAAGAGCAGAGTGAAGCAAATGAAGGCCCAGTTCCACTCATGGTTTTTCCCCACTGTAGACACTCCCATGAACACGAAAATCAGAGTCTCACTGACACTGCTCAGCATCTTCATGAAATATTTTATCGTGGTATAGGAATTCTGGGAAACATTCTCCTCCACATATTTTTTCATCGTCACTGCACATGCTGTCATCCTGCATCAAGCAAAACATCAGAGATCAGCCACAATCTGGTTTTCTTTTTGTTTAAGAACAAACTCAGACTTCATTATCTGCACTTTCCATCACCAGTCTGTGACCTTCCTAATGTCAAGAAGCATTTTATTTCTTCAGTAACATTAGCTACTTCATTAGATAGAAGAGCAATTTCATTCAGCTTTAGAAATCCATTCTGCATAATGGAAAAGGAAGCAAGACAGTCAGCTTTCCTGATGAGGAAGTGAAGGTATCACATCCCCGTTCAAAGTCCGTTTTATCTTGAATGCCTAACACACAGCCACCAAGCACCAAAAACAAAGGGCAAGTCAGTTTTGTACCAGCCTACAGACAGATCAGTTAGAGGGACATCATCTTCCTCTTAGTGATCTTCTTTGAGGTGGTGATGGGAGGACATGGTGTAGTCCTATACCAGGGCCAAAGCTTCTGGCAGGACTCTGACAGCTGACTGTCAGATCAGCAGGGCCAGGGTAAGCTTCGGTGACTCTCCACCCACAGCAGCCCATTGCTGTACAGCAGAGGGAAATTCAGCTACCTTACAAAGGTCCCCTTCCCCCATTTTAGTTACCCAGGTTGTAGCAAATGTGCCTAAGGAAGCGAAGGGCTGTTTTCCACCTCTTTGCAGTTAGTGAAGACTAGAGCCTGTTTTGGAGGCATCAGCTGCTACCCAGCACAGATACTGGTAACAATCGCATAAAGCAGTAGTCTACTGAAGGGGATTTTCTCTTGCCCCCTTCATTTTCCATAGGCATAGGTAACAGATAGATAGGGTGCTATGCTAGTAACATATTCCATCATTTATCTAGTTTCTACTGATATTATTTTAGTCTTTGGGGCTTCTTGTGATGATATTTTTCCAAACTTGTGAATTCAAAGAATGCTGACTGTCCATTAAATAACCCTTCATCTAGTTTCTGCTCATTTAATTTCCCCTGAAGAAACCTCAAGGGTATTCTTGTGGAGCTGAGATATTTAGCAGGTCCAAGGACACTCTAAGACAAGGCCATTAGGCATTAATGTTTAATACTGTTGACTTTCAGAGACACATGCATAATAGACTTTCATGATCCAAGTGAAAAATGAATGAATTCCTCAATAATTCAGAAAGGTGACAATAAGTTCCCATCCTTAAGTCAAGCAATAATTTCCTTAATGAAGCAGTAAGAATAATAAATCCCTATTAACATTCTACTATTACTAATAATTTTAGCACTGTAGTGAAAATAAGAAGCAAAAGAAAGAGCCATGTAGTCTGGTGTAATGAATAGGCAGGGAAGCCGTATTCTGGGCATTGCATGTAGGAAACTGTCCGTATGGTATTAGTGCTCACTACATAGTAGATCTAACCCTCCTCAACTACAGTCTCCAGTCACCTCAATCACAGAAAATGTGTTGGATATGCAAGACATAGTACAAGACTCATCTACTCTGTCTAATTGCTCAGAAAATCATATCTCCTGTCTAACAACTTATTTAGTATGGTTAAATATTGAAATATTGCTTCAGGAGGCCATCCTGCAAAGGTGTATTTTTACAAAGCCAATTTTGCTCTGAAGCTGAATAAATTGGGGTTGTTCAGTCTGGAGAAGAGAAAGCTCTGGGGAGACCTCACTGTGGCCTTTCAATACTTAAATGGGACTTATAATAAAGATGGGGACAAAACTTTTAGTACCACCTGTTGCAATAGGACAAGGGGTAATGGTTTTAAACTAGAAGAGAGTATATTTAGAGTAGATATAAGGAATACATTTTTTACAATGAGGGTGGTAAAATACTGGAACCAGTTGTCCAGACTGGTTGTAGATGTCCCATCCCTGGAAACATTCCAGGTTAGGATGAACAGGGATCTGAGCAACCTGGTCTAGTTGAAGATGTTCCTACTTAATGGAGGGGGGTTGGACCAGATGACCTTTAAATACCCCTTCCAACCTAAACTATTCTATCATTCTATGATTCTATGAAATCAGGTTTTGACAAGTGAAGGTAAATGCAACTGTGTGGACATAACAGCCACAAGCTTGTTTTTCTTGAGTTTAAACTGGTTTGTCCTCAATAAAGGGAACTCTTTTCTGGAGCACCAGGGCCCACAAGACCTTGCATGCAAGCTCAGAGCCAATGCAGGCCATGCAAGGCTGCTGCCACCCACCAGCTGGGCACTGAGCCTGCAGCAGCCAGCAGCACTAGCTGGAGCATTTACCACCACCAGGTTCCCATTATCTTTACACTCTACCCTGCTGGGGGGATGTTTGGTGTGGTATCTTTGAAATTCACCTACCAGCAGTTTTATTGTAAAGTCTCTCCATCCATATTCCCACAATACTCAGTCTCCGCATTTACTGTGGTTGATAGACCTGCCAGCTTTCTCCCTGCACTGGGCACCCGTGCCATCACAGCACTTTAACGAAGCAGTCCCCAACATTACAGCAATATCAGGCGGTCCTGATTACATCAAAATACAAATGCCAATATTCATACACATGAGTATATGTATGCGTATGTGCTCGATGTTCTCACTTGTCTGATTTTGCCCAGTTTTGGTTCCAGTGATGCTGTTCAAATGTAATGTCATTCCAATAAATTGTGTTAGAACTGATGTTCACAGCTGTATACAAAAGCAAGAACTCAGACATTCTTTATTATGTTTTCCATACTTGTTACTTTTCATCTCTCTTGTAATCTGATGGTGATGCTGCTTAGAAATAAATACAGATACACCGATTTATTATCAAACCATTCTCTCATTCTGCTGATCTTATCAGAGGTATCAGCCAGATGGTGGCAGCACTAGTCATTTTATGCATAGCTTGCAGTATTTTTTCCAATGGGCAAAAACCTAAAAAAATTTCAAAGCAGATATGCACTCCTCATTAGTACTTCTATGCCTATGCTGACTGTGGGTTTTCTTTTCCTAGTTACCATTGCATTTTACAGGTCCCGTAGAAGCTGTCCACTGCAGAGACTGCAGTCAGAGGCCAGAGACTGAAAATGCTTGTATTGTACCAACCTTAAGCAAACTACCTCCTCAAAACAATGCCACTTCCCTTGAGAGAGCATCCAAAAAGCCATAAGAGATACTCACGCCAAAATGCCAGAGATGTAAAGGGTTTCAGCAGACAAGTATGACAGGTAGCTGAACATGAAGACCAGCAAGGGTTCAATAGCAGAAATGTTGTGGGTGAATCGAGTCATGAGCGCCGAAACAAATCCAAAGACGATGCCAAACAACACGCCACCCAGCCCCACAACGAAGAAGCGAGCAAAGCCAGCAAAGACATCGATGGATTCAATTTCTTCATACCTGTGCATCTGGGTGAAGGCGATGAAGATGTTATATAAAACCTATGTGTAAAAATAAGGAGACAGCAGTCAGGTGTCTTTCTGAAACTGGAAGGTCTACTCATTTCATAGAGGGTGGGGGGTGGGGGTGTGTATATATATGCTTGAGATTGCTTTAGACAGATCAGCAAAGTAACAGTTGAAATCTCAGCTCGTTCTTAACAAGTCTCAGAATTAAGGGTCTGTTAAGTGTCCTGAAAAATAGGAAAAAAAAAAAAAGAAAAAAGAAAAAAAAAAAAAAAAAGACTAAAATTCCACAGGATCAAATGCAATTGAGATAACTGAAAAATGCTCATGCTTTTTTGTTTTCTGAAGGTAAACTTAATTATTGGTCTCTGTAGCAGATGTTGAAAGTCCATCTGGATACCTTACCAACCCCAGGCTCTGCCCTCTACGTTCTCTTTCTGACTCAGGATGGAACAGGGCAGCCACTAAAGATCACACTTTTGAGTTAAATCATATTTAAATTGTCTGTATGATCAGTAGACTGGACACGCTTTATTAGGTGGACTTTGGAATGTTACATGTTTTTCGATAGTACTTGATGCATAAAACCCATGAAATATCACTTGCAATTGGAAAGGAAATAGGAGAGGGAAGGGACAGAGAAGGGAAGTTAAAGTCTCCCACAAGAACAAGGGCAAGCTATTGTGAGATTTCTCCTAAGTGCCTATAGAATATTTAATCTACCTCTCTGACCTGGTTGGGTGGCCTGTAATAGACTTCCAGTACAACATCTGCCCTGTTGGCATTCCCCCTGATTCTAACATAAAGACACTTCATCCTGTCTTCCCTATACTTGTTCTCAAAGCAATCATAACAGTCCCTAACAACTGGAGGAGTTTCCCTAAGGCCAAATGCCGGGGGCTGCCCTTGGGCCACAACAACCCCCAGCAGCGCTACAGGCTTGGGGAGGAGTGGCTGGAGAGCTGCCAGTCAGAGAGGGACCTGGGGGGGTTGATTGACAGCCGGCTGAACAGGAGCCAGCAGTGTGCCCAGGGGGCCAAGAAGGCCAATGGCATCCTGGCTTGTGTCAGCAATAG